TTTTGAACTTCTCCTGCACATCTGCTTGTCCCTTGCCCAACAATTAATCATGTCCTCCAGTCCTCCCATCAGTTTTGTCCCCACACAGCGCCTGCCCCAGCTTCACTTCTGGTCCTCCTGGGATTCTTCAATGCCTCCCCCCACTTCCCAGACCTGGGGGACTGCAGCAGGCTCCCCTCTTCTCCTTCCCAGGATGGGGGGACAGCTCCGGGGGCTCTTCACCCCCCCTTCCAAGGCCGGGTGCTGCAAGGGGGAGGAGCAGAGGTGCCATCCCATCTCCATTGCTCACAGGATGGGAGGAGCTTCCCTAAGCCAGCCCCTCCCCCCCATCGTGAGAATGGCAAGTGGTGAAGAGATACTCTGTTGGCTTCTGGCAGGGCTGAACTTCACAACAGGGCTGGAGCTTCTCACATCATCGTGAGACAGGTGCCAGCCCAGTTTGAAATCCCATCACTTGTGAAAAATTGTGAGAGTTGGCAACATTGGTTTAACCAGGAACCTGCTCCTGCCCTGAGAGTGTCAAGACTGTTTGGAAGCTCAGACTAGCCAGGGTCTTGCTTTAGCTTTAAGGAGCTGACTCAAGTCTGGGAGTTTAGTACAGCTGAGGAGTTTACTTCAGCAGGATGTGTGGTATAGCCAGGAGCTGCCCGAGCTGTTTTGCCAGTCAGTGCAGAAAGTGCCAGTCCCCCGAGTGGCTCAGCAAAAAACAAAACAAAACAGCCAGTGAATCAGCGGAGCAAAGGGGGGTGGGGGGAAAGCTCAGCAGCTCAGCAATATGGCAGTGCCCAGTGGAAACTGGTGCCCAGGATAACTACCCTGCTCAACTGCTCCTAAAACTGGCCCTGGGTGTGGCTCAGACTCATAAAGCTAACTCTACTTTTAAAGCATCTCTCAAACACTGAGGCCTGGTCTACACTGGTGGGGGGGAGGGAAGATCTAAGTTACGCAACTTCAGCTATGTGAATAACATATGTGAATAACATAGCTGAAGTCGATGTACTTAGATCGACTTACCATGGTACCTTCACTGCGGTGAGTTAACTGCCCCCATCGACTCCGCCTGCACCTCTCGCGGAGGTGGAGTACAGGAGTCGACAGGAGAGCACTCAGGGGTCGATTTATCACGTCTAGTCTAGACGCAATAAATCGACCCCCGCTGGATCGATTGCTGCCTGCCGATCTGGCGGGTAATGTAGACATACCCTGAGATTTGTAGGAGGGAGCAAAGAAGCTAGTGGCAGAGAAATGGTGAATAGATGCCAGGCTCTCTATTCACATCCCTATGCTCAGCCCATTAGACCATTGCAGCAAATAGCATTTGGTAGAGAACTGTTGGTTAACAGTGTGCTGTAGGATAAGTTCTCCAGGAAACACAGATGCTACACTTCCTGCTGGGTAGCAAAAACAAAGGAGTCCAGGACAGGGCAGTCACTGGCTACAGCCAGTGAATAGTAGGAAGTTTTGTTACCATATTGCTGTACTTGGTTTCTGTTCTCAGTAAAGGATATAGCTTGCTCGTCGGTAAGATACTACATGGCACCAGCGGTGGAAGGCAAAGTGTAACGCTGACAGACCCTGGTAGGCAGGGTCGAAAGTGGGACCTCTGAAGCTTAGTGTCTGAGTCTCTACTGCCACAAGGCCCTTAGCTAAGCCTGTAGCAGACTCATCAATCTCTAGCTGGGCTAGGTGCCACTAGAGGGGGACAGAGCGCCACACCAAACAGGCAGGAGTTACAACAGAATACTAGAAGCCCCAGTGGGAGGGGTAATATTGAAGTGATTGCTACAGCCTGTGCAACTGCAAGTAACTCCCCCACCAGGCCAGAGAATCAGCGGAAATGCGGAATGTATCTGGAAATGCTTCAAGGTTTATGAAAGCCACGGGTGCAAACGGGAGCATGAGCAAAATATTGCTCTGCTGCTAGTGGCAAGGACGAAAGTGTGAGATGTATGCAATGCATCCCATACAGATGGTGGTGAGGAAAGAGAGGAAAGCTTTGCAGAAACAATTAAAAGGTTTGCGGATCATTGTGTCCTCTATAGAGGTGTTTCTCACAGGCTTATAACTAAAAAAAAAACAACCAATCCTGTGAATATAGAATATTAAATCAAACTCGCTTGTTAAAGACCAGACTGATCTGGGGTGTAACAATAAGAATGTCCATGAATGACTAAAGGAGATGAATCTGACTTTAGAAAGGTGAATATGTGCACAAACAGAAAGCCTAGAGCAGGGATTGGCAACCTTTGGCACGCGGCCCATCAAGGTAAGTCCCTGGCAGGCCGGGACAGTTTGTTTACCTGCAGTGTCCGCAGGTTTGGCCAATCATGGCTCCCACTGGCTGCCGTTTGCTGTTCCAGGCCAATGAGGGCTGCGAGAAACAGTGCGGGTCGGGCCACCTCTTCCCCCAGCCCCCATTGGCCTGGAACGGCGAACCGCAGCCAGTGGGAGCCGCGATTGGCCGAACCTGCGGACACGGAAGGTAAACAAACTGTCCTGGCCTGCCAGGGACTTACCTTGATGGGCCGCGTGCCAAAGGTTGCCGATCCTTGGCCTAGAGAAAGGCACAAAGGATATGACTTTTTGTACAACAGTTAGAGCAGCCAGGGAGAAGTTCACAGAAATTAAAATGGACAAGGACAGAAACACGGAAAGCAGGAAACAATGCCAGGGATGTGGCAACTTGCATGAGGATAGGAAATGCCCAGCATGGGGGCTAATATGCATGAACTGCGATAAACCTAACCATTAAACTAAAATGTGCTAGAGAGTAGCAGGTGCCACACTTCTTGTACAATATCACGTGGTCTTTGAGTTTCCTGAGACACACTTGCTGCTGGAGAGCCAACACAAAAACCCTGGACAGCAAAGTCGCAGGCTACAGCTAGAGCGTAGTAGAAAGTTTTGTGACCTTATTGCTGTACATAGGTTTTCATTCTCAAGCAAACTCTTTCTTGAGAATGAAAACTAATCTACTCATTGGTAAGATACTACAATAGAACCTAACGTAGCCACCTCAGAGAAGGACATGTTCTCTGCCTCAATCAGTCTAACTAGTCAAAGTGACACACTAAATCAGGCTGACAGAGAGTAGGGAGGGGACAGGGAAGGAAGGATGAGGATTACTATGGTACATTGACTTTGTTTCTCAGTAGTAGACATAGAGTAGTGATGCTGAGTGATGTAGTTTTAAGCAATGTCAGGAAGCTACATGCTGTGACCGTACTAGCAGCTGAAAAGCAAGGCCAATGGCTGCAAACTCAAGGCTAAGTTAAAACATTAACACTTCCACCAGGGCATGTTCAGTCAGTAGAGGTGAAATTTTGCTGGATCTCTCCTCTTTCCAGAAGCTACCCTTCCCCACAAAAGGATTCTGCTCCCACACTTAACTTACCATAATTTTGGTTGACCGCCTGGGGCCCTTTATATCTCCACATCTTCAGATGTCGCTGGAAATGTTTGACTGAAAGGGCAGCTGTTTTATTCATGGTACCTAGCTGCCTCACATCCTTCTACTCAAGACGAGTGATGACTAACAGGTAGCAGAGAAACTGCCTGACCCTCATTCCGTGCTGCTGTTCCTGGCAAGACTTCCAACGTTCACCTTAAGATGGGCTCCCAGAAGCCCTAGATTACACTTTAGGGAATTACACAAGAAAGATTAAGGTTTAATATTAGTTCATTAGGGTTTTTTCATTCCATGAATAAAACTATGTCCTTTTATATGCCAGCAACAGTATGCTGCTGAGCTAATGAAAAACAGAGCTTGAGAGAATGATGCAGGGGAGTTTTATAAACAGATTTAATTGGCTAATGTTTCCTAACTTGTCAAAAGGAAGGATATTAGTTTCCCTTTCATTACAAAAAGACCCTTGAAGTCTAATCTTAAAACAAGGAGACAATTTAGCATAGCATAACTCTAATGCTGCTAGTGCTGGAGTTAGATTACTGACATTCATTTGAAGTTACTACTCAATGCTAAAAGCACAAACAAAAATGGACAATAAGAGTCATGAATTGTGAAATTGTCTTATACCCTGGGATGCAAAGTGCGCTTTCTGAGAGACTGGAAAGCAGGCACAGAGCACTCACTGGACGAATTGGTGGCACTCAACCGTTGTCCACCATTCTTGTGATTCTATTTTTAAAAACAGAACTATTAATTCAGAGCTCGGAGCAGAATCCTTCGCTAACTTTTTTACCCATTAGGTTAACAGCCAGAAAATCCAGCTACCAACTCCCACATGCTGTATTTCAGCCAAAAATGCATTTTGACTCATTCTTTTTCTTGTGAATATTACAGTGATTATATACTTGATTCTAATTGGTGTTTTAATATTTTATAATCCTCAGGGTTCAAAGAGCATTTTAACCCTTTAACACATGCACATAATTGCTGCTATCTGTGCATGGCAGGGAGACTTATTTGTCATTCAGCAACTTTCATATATTTACAAATACAACAACACAACCTTGATTTTCTGAACTCTGATTAGCTGAAATTCCAGGTTAACAAAAGGTTATGTTCCTTGAGTTTGCATAGTCCTGTGAAGCTTTGGTTTTAGGGAGATCCATAGGACTGAAATTAAGCCCTTAACTCCCTGTGAAGTTTCTATGCTTAGGAGGTTTACAGGATTGAAGCGCCTGGTTATTTCAACCTGCAATTTTACAAAGGTTACAGATGTTCCCCAAGAGCTCCATAAAATCAGGGTTTGCGTCTATCTAGCCTTCTAAGTTCTTATATGGCTCTGTCCCTGTGGTATGTCCACACTTTTCTATATATTTCAAAAGCTTGGAAAATGAGCACCTTGTGCATTTTTATTGAGCAGCAGCCTGAGACATGCTAAGCACAAAGCACTTTACACTCAAAGCAAATTGTATTTATTTATTTACTATGAACTCATCGAAAAACTCAGAGACACAATTTGGGGGGCCCTCACTTTCAGGGCAGGTTGAGGCTAAGATTAGGAGACAATACAGTTGATCATGAAAGAAAGAAAGAAAGAAAGAAAGAAAGAAAGAAAGTTTGCTCTTAGGTACAAACATTATAGGGTGATCTTATGTGTTATAAATATGACACAGGAATTCTGGTATGAAATTGGGAGCAAATACTCAGCTGGTGTAAATTGTCATTGGTCCATCTTCTTTATATCTTGGTTCTCTTATCTGAGATGGGTCTGGGTTGATATGATGGGGTCAGTTTACACCTGGTAGAAATTTCAAAGAATGAGAAATGTCAACACAATTTTGTATTGACATTTTTAATTTCAACAAAAAGATGAGAAAATGTTTTTTGCAAAAATTCTTATGAATTTTACCTGCTAGTTTTTGATTGCTCTAGTCAGTACCCATCAACTTTAGTGGCCAATGTTTTCTTATTTTAGGCAAGGTTAATTTCTCCAAGGAAGACAGCAAAATATGTTACAGGATTTGTAGAAATAAAATTAACCTTTTGAACTGATAATATGACAACTTTGGGGGGAATTTCTTTAAGTCCCTCGGCCCGCGCAGCTTCCAGCAGTCCCCATTGGCCTGGAGCAGCGAACCGCGGCCAGTGGGAGCTGCGATTGGCCAGACTGCGGATGGGGCAGGTAAACAAACCGGCCCGGCCTGCCAGGGGCTTTCCCTACACAAGCGGCGGCCCCAGTTTGAGAAACACTGTGCTATTGCAAATAATCCCTCTCTACAGATTGTGTGACGCCAGCAAGCGGTAGTCAGTGCTGCCATCCCTAACAAACTGTGCTGACTGGGACAGCTGGACCAAATTACAATGATGTAACGCAGTGCCTCGAGTGAGGTGTGTTAGCTGACCACAAACAACCCTTTGCAATCAGCACAGCTATGCACCATAAATAACCAGTGCAGTGAGATTATTTCTTCTGCTTAAGTAGGGGTTGTGATGAAGTGAGACTGTTCTTAATGTTTCCTCTGAATACCGTGTGGGTGCCTCAGTTTCCCCTATGCATTTCTTAAGTCTCTAGGTGATGGGATAAAGGCCAGTGTGCATAAATCACTGACACACTGTCTCCCTGGCAACAAATGGCCAGGGCCCTTCTCCCCTGCAAGGAAATAGCTAAAGGTGAACAAAGAGATCAGGTGACCTCCTGGCCTGGGAAAGAGACAAAGCCCAGAGAAGGAGGGGCTGGAGGGGGTTTCAGTGGGGTGCTCGCTGGGAACGGGGAAGGGAGTGCAGACGGAGGTGTCTGGCTCTCTGAACCCCATAATGGACCCGGCCGAGGGGTCCCGTTCACCACTATACCTACAAGCTCTGTTTTAGACTGTGTTTCTGTCATCTAATAAACCTCTGTTTTACTGGCTGGCCAAGAGTCATGTCTGACTGCAAAGTGGGGGTGCGTGCAGGACCTCTGGCTTCTCCAGGACCCCGCCTGGGCAGACTCGCTGTGGGAAGCGCATGGAGGGGCATATGCTGAATGCTCCAAGGTCAGACCCAGGAGGTGAAGACGTGTGAGCTTGCCCTGAAGACGGTCTGCTCTGAGGGAGAGGAGGCTCCCCAGAGTCCTGACTGGCTTTGTGGGGAGCAGTTCCAGAGCATCGCCCGGGACTTCGTGACAGGAGTGCCCCACCCACTCTTCACACATGTGGGTGTACTGCTGATCTGTCATGAGGGCACAGCCTGCCTGACTACTGGAGCAGGGCTTTGATGTTATGCCAGGGTCTAGCCCTATGTGAGTTTATGCCATAAATACATCAAGTCCCTCATTTAAGAAGGTTGCCGTTTTCAAGCACTCCCTCTCAATCACAAAGCCACTTACTTGAAAAGAAGTAATGCGGGTGACTTATTTCTCTGGGGCATGCAGCTGTGCCCATTCCACAACATAGCTGTGAGGAGAAGACATGCAGAAAGAGTGGAGTCTTGCATCTTGTGCTAAAAATGAAAAGACTTTGACTTGGCCTGGGTTTCAGTGGAAGTGAGTTCCTTTCTCTGAATACGCCCTAGCTTTGGCCCCACAGGTTAGAATCTGGGCTCTGTGACTTTCAGCACCGTCTGCTGTGGTGGGAAGAGGAGCAACTATGAACTATAAGAAAGCTTGATTCATTATTGCCTCAGGCAGTCTACTGTTGCCATTAGAGAAGCGGTACTTAGTATAAGATTCCACCCTGCCTGATTCCAGTCTGCCTGTCCTTCAGAGGACATCAATGTGTTAAGTATATTACAAACATATTAATTTCACCAGGGACTTCATTGAAAGCATGTTAACCAAATTATTTTCTAGCTAACATGAATCATTACAAGGCAGACATAGGATGCAGTGAAAAAAATAATAATCAGCATATTAGTGAGGGGGAAAAACCTTAAGAAATTCAGTGGTTGGGAAAAGCGGCCAAACATTTAGATGCTTTTCTGACCCTTTGAATATCTTGACTTTGCAGATTTGCCCTAGAAATCTTGTGAGCACAGACTCTCGTGAAATTAACAGACTTGTCTTTTCCCATTTCTGGCCAGCTCCAGGAAGTGTAAAGACCTGCAGAAATGAAGGATAATGTGGGAGGGGTGAAGTTAACCCAGACTTGTTTGAGCTTCAGAAAGTTTGGTTGTGGTTCAGTTCAAGTCAGTTTTTATCCTATCTGTGCTGCAGTTGTGCCAATCTAACCTCGGACGTAGACACGACTAGCTCAGTGGAAGAATGTTTCCGTCGACCTGGCCACTGCAGCTCAGGGAGGGAGGTTACCTACAGGGATGGGAAAACCCCTTCTGTTGGTGTTAGATGCATCTACACTACGGTGCTACAGCAGCACACTTACTGTGCCATAGCTGTGCTACTATACTGCTCACAATGTAAACATTTGCTATCTGCTTCCTCAAGAATACAGTGGGGTGGACCCCGGCACGGTGTGGGGCCCCATTGACTTCAATGGGCCTCTGCACAGACCCAGGGGGTTTATTCATGTGGTACCTCATGCTAAATTAGGGACTTGGTATCTAACCCATGTTGTACCACTGCTTCATTGTTGAACTATGCGCAAATCATTTAATCTCATCTGTAAAATGGGCATAATACTTTATCCCACACAGGGCTGTTATGAGGTTTAGGATTTAATTAATTAATATTTGTAAGCCACTTTGAGATCCTTGTCCGAGAGGCCCTATACAGAAGTTCAGTGTATTGGAGTCAGAGCTATTCTACTTTACTCTGCAGTGCTTTGGATTTCAAAATGTTTTCTGATATTATATTTTTGTGAAGCCACCACATGCATAACAGGGATGATGGAAATCATCCAGTACTGAGACCAAGTACAGTTAGACATCTGCAATGTAATAAATGACATAATGACAGGACAATCAAATGCAACAAAATGAAAGTAGTAAATTGCAACAGAAAGTCTGGCAGGCCCATGAATGATGATGATCATCTAGGTTAATTCAATAGAGGATGCTCTCTGCTCTGCAATAAATCTGAAACACTGTGTTGGGGGAGTGTGTCTTTATAATGTTCAACAATAATCTGTGCAGAATCAACTTCAGCTCTGAAATGAAATGATATAATTTGCATTCCAATTATTCCAGTTGCAAGATGACTCGTTAGAATCCTAGTGTCCTGAAATATTGATAAGAAACATTAAATATGAAACACAAGGGCTTAATTTTAAAGAGTCTGTAGTGAATATTTTGGAAAAGGCTTTAGAAACGAACATTCCACATGCCTGGCTAATCAAGTGAAAAACTATTTCCTTGGTAAGTATTACTTAAGGAGACATTGGGTGTCTTAAAGAGAAACTAAGAAAAATAGATGCATTGAAAGAATAAGAAAATAATTCTTGCAGATTTTACCAGCTTTCTCCTTTAGTAACTTTTAAATAGAGATGGGCCCAACCCACAAAATGTAGATTCAAGCTTCATACATCTCAAGGTTCTGAGGTGTTCAGACCTATGCCTTTGGATTAAACTACTATATACATAGTGGGCTTTTGCAAATTCTAGTTCCAGATTTCAAACACTACAAATCTGGGGATATTCAGACCTGGGGGAGGAGGGCTGATTCAATCATGTCTCTAATTTCTAACATGATGGGCAGTATTCTATTATATCGTGTTGGAAATTATTCACACCTCATATAGCACAACATCTTAACAAGGAATTGTGTCAAACTCATACAACATTTTGGCTTGACTGAGAAATTCTGATCTGCACATGCTAAGGAAGTGTCTCTTTCAGGTCAGGAGCCATGGGCTTGAGCAGACATGCGGAAGGGCCTTTGCACAATACGCACATTCAGTGTTCCTTGTTTTTAGCAGCAAGTCAGTTCATTTTCACAGTATTAAAATTCAGTAGAGGCAGAGTGCACCACAATTTAAAAAGGCCTTCAACAATGAATTAAGACAATTAAATTATTTCTCTACAAATGAGGCGTTATCCACCACCAGCAATTCAGGTGGGGAAATCTAGCCCAGCATTATTTATTGTATACAATGCTATTATTATTATTTATTATGTGCATTGTGGGTAAAGCCTAGGAGTCCAGTTATGGATCAGGACTTCTTTGTGCTAGGTGGTCTCCAAACACAGATTATGGATACATATTGCAGATTGCCTTCCTCTACTATTCACACGTCATTATGGAAATCAACAGCAATGTCATTAGTAGACAGAACTAATATTTTCGGAAGAAAAACACTGAACAATTTTTAAAGCATCCGCTGAAGAGAGGTTTGTTTTTTTCCTGGAGAAATGAACCCAGCTTATTATCGCTAAACTGTAACGTTTTACACCTGAGTAGTGCTGAGAGAAGCCAGAAGGATGAAGATTTAGGAAGAAAAAATTCCTAAAAAACCCCCCCAGGCAATAATCATTTGGTACTAAAATACTTGTTAATTTTTTAAAAATGGCTAGCACCATCAAGAAACAGCCAAAAGAAAAAAATTATGAGAGGTTAAACAAAACAATATAACAAAATGTTAAACTCTGGAACTAAAAATATTTAAATCACTCTACACCTTATCTATATATCCTAGTCTCTAAATGTCCTGGTAACTAGACATAACAAAATGAATAACCTCTAATTATTCTCCCCATAAGACACACCTTAATTTCTGAGAATGACAAAAGATCAATGTTTATAGAAGTAGCAAACCATTTTTAGCTTCCACAGTCACAAAACTGCTGCATTGCTTGGGCTCTGTCTGCACTGGATGACCTTGAAATTGCCGGAGTCACGGCCAGCTTCTATCTTTGGTTCCAAACAACCACCTTCAATCTTACACAGTGTCATGTTCTCATTGTCTGGGCTTTGTACTTCCCTGCCATTGAAGGATTTTTCACATAAATTATACAGGAAATGAAGCAAAATGTAATTACCATCTCCAACAGCACCAAGGCAGATAGATAGCAACCGACATGGAAAGCAGTTCAACAGTCAGTTTTCAATAAATGTCACTTGGTAGAATGGATATAAATGAAGCATATATCACCATACCACCCAGCCCCACAATTATATTATTATCGCATCATGCAGCCAAAAAGTTATAAGGTTATGGCTATTTCCAACTATCACTGTTAGCAGACTGCTCCAAAGGGACTTTCATTCTTTGCTTTTAAACCTCATTATATGGACTTCAAAATGTATCATCAAATAATATTATGCTGCATTAAATTGAGTTTTCCCAATGAAAACATTTCCACTAAGCTTGAATGAGACATTTGATAATCCATTAGCACACCTTTAACTTTTCAACATACTAGATTGTCTCATATTTTTTTTTATAATTCTCAAAAGAAAAAGACAATTATTTCTCACTTTGGAGTAGTCCAAATGGATGTGATTTGATTGATCTGAACAGAAGGCACATTACAGTGATGTATAACAACATTTTTGTCCTTGGAAGAACTCCAAATTAATTCATTCCCCTTTTACCTTTCAAGGTACAGCATGATATTTAACCCTAACTTAACATCATATTTATTTAAAAGAAGTTATTATGGGAGATCTGGGCTACAAATAACAGCATTAACAAGGGTTAGCAATAAAGTTCATCTATCCAAAATAGATTTTGCATGGGGAAAATTAGTGGTGACACAACTTCAATATAAAAGTCTGCATTTATGATTCAATAATCATGGAATTCACTGAGCAAGACCTTTAAAATGCAGAGGACACATTTTAAAAGGGATACATGTGTAATGCAAATGTTTTTTCTAGTCTTGTGTTGAAGATAGGTGTTTTCTTTTCCTGGCTTCCAGGTATCTAAGAGCTCACTAAGTTCACCCCATTCCCCTTACAAAAGTCTCCCAATGAAGGATACAACAGATAATAAACTGACAATATACATGATCTTAGCCAGAAAGCCAAGATGGCTGAAATGGGGATGAATTACATTTGTTACAAAACCCTGCAATGGGGTAAATGAGAGTACAGGTCAGATTTGGGCAGGAGAAAATAAACTTGTAATTTTGAATGGACTATTGCCTTCTTATGTCAGGTATAAATTTTTAAAGCAGTGTATTAAAATCAATGCAAGTCTCATAAATAAAATCCTGTGCATCTCTGTTATTTTACCACAGAACTTCTTTAATCAGTAAAAGCCTGTATAAGTCATATAGCACCCTATTAAGGAGAGCTGAAACTTATGTAAGGCCTTATCTTCACAGTTGGTTTTTAGTCACAGGTATACTATACTTATATAGCTCGCCAGTACAAATCCCTAGTGTAGACTCAATTAATCAATATAAATAGAGACTTTGGTTCTATCCTTTCTCCAACAGCAACAGGGATCAAAAGGGAGTTCCCCCATTGCCTCCCTCTCCCCTCTGGTAACAGGAGACTGGCTTAGTAATGCAATCCAGCATTGCTGTCTCTACTCGTATCTAAGCTGCCACTATATTTGTACTTCATACCATACCATTCTGGACTCTTCCCTGTTTAGCAGTAG